GCAGGGACCCTCGGGGCCTTGGGTGCAGGCTGGGGTCTGGAATAGCGCAGAGCTTCCTTCCACGTGTGGTGGACACACGGGAGGGGGGGACGGAAAGCCCTTTGGGGGTGAGGGCAGCAAGCCGGGATGGTTGGAAGTCTCTCTTTTCAACCCTGGGACCCAGAATCGAAGGTGGCTGGCTGAGGCCGAGCCTGAAGGTGTGCGCCTCTAGGAGGGGCATCTGTCGTCCCACAGTGGGGAACTTTTCACCTGTGGATCGCTCGAGCCACCACTCACCGCCATGGGGCTCCCGGCAGCGGTGGGAGGGAGGGGGGCGCGCGGCCCACGCCGGTGTCCGGGCGCCTGGCCGCCGATCTGAGCCTATAGCACAGGGCTCCTGCACCCGTTCACCTTTTCTAAAACCTGTTGCAGCGGTTTACATTTACTTTTGGTGTCCCAACATGAACTTTCCCCACCGCGGTGTGCTTCCCCGTACCTCGCCTGGGGAGCTCTATGGCCCAAGGGCCACCATGCAGAGCTTGTGGGTTCCCTCCACCCCTCTCCCCATCCGCAGCCCCCACCCTGCTCCCCGAGGGATCTGGGTGATCCGCCCTATTAATATATTAGCCTGGCACTGCACAAAGGAAGAGCGTGTCGGCAGAAGGCCGTGTGACTGCAGGGACATGCGAGAAACCTGGACGACCAGGCCCTGCGCTGTCCGTCGTTGTCCCCCCACCCCATCCCTCTGTCTCTCTCTCTCTCTCTCTCTCTCTCTCTCTCTCTCTCTCTCTCACACACACACACACACACACACACACACACACACACCCCGTTGCAGTTGGAGCTGGAGAATCAGCCTCCACCTAGGAAAAGCGCTGGAGGACACGGTGGGAGTTGGTGCTGCCGCTTGGGCGACTGCTGGGTAGGGAGTTTGCAGCCGGGCTCAAGGAGGGAAGCAAGGTGCTTTCTCCCACGTGGACCCAGATCTAGGAGAAGGTTCCAAAAACATCCCAGTCACCTGGGTCAGCGCAGAGAAAGGCAGCTGTCCGCGAGCACAGCAGTTGGCCCACAGTTACTTCCTCCCTCGTGCATAGTGGGTCCTTAAAATTCAATGTATAAACAAAGCAACCTACCGCAAAGGCCCTACATTCTTCTCACTAAGTTGTGCTTTCAAATCAAAACTACTTGGTGTAAGAGAGGCAAGGGGAAAAAACTGACCCCAAAACACGATTAGACAAGTAGAGGAGGAACAAACTTCAGAGGACAGGGGGAAGAAACTAAGATTTCCAGTTCAATTCATTGTTCCCGATTTCCAAGCAATGCTTGGGGCGGGGGGGGGGGGGGGGGGGGGGGATTTCCAGCTTATTTCTCTTGGTTTCAGGAAGAAAAAAAAAAAGCCACCCTGATATGTTAAGAGGAGTTGAGGGAAATGGAATGGCACGGCACAGGTAGAACTCCAATCAGGTCTGACCTTGGGTGTCCCTGGCCAGGTTCTGAACTTGATTTCCCAAGTGCCTAGCCTAGCATCCCACTTGGATTCTGAAGTCCCCCAGCACAATTCTATTTAAGCCATTTCGTTCCTGGATTTGGAGGGCAAATATCCTGCTTCTATTCTAGGTTGACTGTAATGTAGAGAACCCCAAAATCTCCTGAAGTGGCATGGAGAAGAGAGCTCCTCACTTCCCTGGGCTGCAAAGGGGAGGAGAGCTCACTCGCCAGGTGGCTTGCTCTTACAGTCTGTACTCACACCTACCATAATTGGAGAAGGGAGACAGAAAAAGAAAGATGGCAAATGAGAATTTCCCACTTGTCACTTTTTTAAAAATGTTTGCAATAAGAAAATCCATGTGTTTTACAAGTTAAAACTGAGCTTCGTGGGTATTCTCCAGCCTCACAATGCTTGCTAAAAGGAGGACTGGAGAAAAGGAAAAGGGGAGGGGGGGTGATGGCTGCAGTCAGTCCCAGCTGTGCAAAGTTCAATGAACAGAACTGGTCTGGGAGCTAAAAGGAGAAACACCAATGGAACCATTTCCCCCAAAACGTAACTATTTGTAAGACCAAAAAAAAGAAAGTAATCTGTTATTAAATATTATTTGGATACATTAAATTGCATCCATAGAGAGAAACTTGCTTATGTGGCTACTTAAAAAAGAGAAAGAAAGAAACCCAGAAAACCTTGTACACATCTCCCCAAATGGATTCTATTTCTAAACAGGAACGTTTAGAAAATGTCCAAGTTAGTTCATTTTCTTACAGTCTTATTTCTATGAGTATCTGTTGATGCTGGTGATTGCATTTGGGAAATTTTTATTTCTAAATTTAAGCATAATTTGATTACCTATTTAGCTCAAAGTAGTTAAAAAATCATCTTTCTGCACAAATTATTCTGAAATAATGAGGCATTCTCTTAACTGCATTTAGTTGCAAACCACATTTTACCACATTTCTAGTACACATTTCATTTTTAAGGCAATTTTTTACAAACGTATAATCTATTTAATAATTTAAGCAATTTTATTTTTCAACGAGTTGTTCCTCTTGACATATTGAGGTATCACATTAAAATACATTATAGATAAATGTTCTACAATATTACTGCTAAATCAACAGAAAACCAATTGATCTTGAGGAAAGGTTAATTAATTTGGGCTACAGGTCTCCGACTTCGGTCTTCAATGAAAGGAATTTCTATTGATCGCGGCAGTTTTTTTGTAAAGAAATTTAATATACATTTTCATGGCACTGAGATCAATTTTTTATAAATGCCAAACAACAAGGTTTAAAATTTTTAATCGTTCCAGGAATTATTTTCTGTTTATGGCACAAATGTTAGCACTCCTGAGAAAAATAATGGTTTTTACACTTACAGTGAAATCAGTCAAATAAGACAGAAGTTAAGAACTTTAATAGGATTTTGTTCGTTTTTATCACAATAATTCTCACGACTTTATTCTGCTACGCAGGGAGGGGAACAACAAAGAACAGTGAAAATTAAATTTCATCTTTGACTTAAACAGTGTATTGGCAATCCTGTAGTGAGCGGACTGAGCTACTTGGGAACCCTTCTGAGTTGTTCAGTTTCTGCTGAATAGAACCGGTGAGCTTTTCTTATCTATCTTTGTCTTTTTTTTTTTTTAAATCACATTTAAAATGTTTCGGACCTGAGCCTCCAAACGCCAGGTGAAAGTAGCCATCCAAGCTCCCCTCGCTGCTGTAAACTCACTCCCCACACATCTTTCCTTTTCTGTGTCTGCTTGGTGGCCTTGCGGTGGCTCCAGGGCCTCTGGCGCTTTTACACTTGGGTCAGACCGAAGGTTTCCCCTCCTTGCTTCCTTCCTCCCCCCTGGCGACCCCTCCCCCACCTCAGGCAAAATTCCTAAAAAGAGCGGGCGGGGGGCTCGCAGCGCGGGCGGCGGGAGCGTCCGCGGCGAGGACGGGCCCGGCCGGGGGCGCCGGCGGGGAGGGCTGGGGTCTGCGGGACGGCGACGCGCTCGCGAGGGTCCCCGCACTCCCTCGGAACCACAGCTGTTTTCCTCCTGGCCCCGAGCGTAGCGCCCCAGCGCCCCGCGTCCCGGCGTTTGTGTGGCCGGGTTTCCGAGTAAGGGATTACGCAGCGGGAGCGGCCGTGGCGACACAGGCCGCGGGGGCCGCTGCACGGGAACTAGGCGCCCGGCCTTCTTTGTTGACTTTCAGGTCTCCGGCTTAACAGAAGATTTATTCGCTAGGAGGGGAAAATGCCCAAACAATGAGCAACTAACTGCACTTGTCACCTCGGGACGCTTGCCGTCCTGCTCTGTCCCTCCTGCCCCGGCAACCCGTTGCCTGGGCCCCAGCCGCGCGCGCGTCCTCACGCGCGGGTCGCAGATCGCGGCGCCGGGCAGTGGCCGTGCGCGGCCTGAGGGTCGCGTGAGAAGCCACCGCTAGGAGCGGGGCCCGAGGCGGCTTTGCGCCAAGGCGAGACCCGCTCTCTACCACCCGCCCTCTTGTTTCCAGGTCACCAAAGTGGCCTGGGCCACAAAGTCCACGGCATCTCTCCCGCAACAAAACCAGAAAAAAAATCTCCGCCAAGTAAAAGAGCCAGAGCCAAGGTCGACTTGAACGTGGTGGGATGGAGGCAGGACACTGATATTGCTAATGTGTTAAAGAGGAGGAAGGGAACGTCGAGAGAGGGGGACAGCACAAAAGTCAGATGCTTTAGATTCAGGGACAGCAAAAAGGCCGAGGCCCAAACTCATGCATTTATATTACATTTGGAATTCAAATCTGCCAACGTTTGTTTACCCGCCATATAACTATGAATAACTGTTGAGATTGAAAGATTTTCCCTCTTTTTGGGATTTTTGACGTCCTTCCGAGAACTCCAAATTAAGTTTTGAAATTACTCAAGCCAGCAATCTCTACCCCACAACCCCTCCTTTTAGTAGTTGATGAGAGCAGAGCAGGGATTTCTGGATTTTTCTCAAGTGCTACATGGAACCCCTTTCTCTCATCTGGGGAGGCAATTACGCGATAATTAAGCGACTGGCACTGCTCTTTTTATCTTGTCCGCGGTGTGGAGTGGGGCGATCAAAGAAAAGCTGTCCAAGTTCAAGCCCTGGTGAGGACGGAGTTCATACACAAGGGCTCAGGCAGGCCGGCCTCGGCTTGGGCTGGTGTTGTTATTGTTGATGTCAATCCGAACAAGACTTACAAAGAAATAGGTGGACTGGAAAGTGAGCCTACTATCAAGAGATTAATGATTTTGTGATCCCAAGCAAACTATGGGGTGTGAAGTTGCATTTCAAAGCTTCTTACAAGGCAAACAGATCAGCAGCTTTAAGTTCTTAGGAGCAATATTTTTAGACACAATATTTTTAAAATATCTTTACAAAACACAAAATAGCAGCTACCCTGAAATGTCCTGGTGACACAAAGCTTCCCATACTGGAATGAATTAACTCCTCTCCACCCACCCCCCTCCAGAGCTATCAGGATGCTAGTTTTGCTTCTCTTTTAATAAGAGGGTTTGGTCTCTGTGGTAGACAACTTAGTTTTATCAGCCACAGCTTATATTTTATTCTACTTGAATACTCAAGGAAAAAATAATAGATCAGGGAAGGAGGAAGTTAGCAATATTTGATTTCGTAGTGGAAAAACTCAAAAGAAATACAGATGTCTTATGCCCCCCCAACAAAAAAAAAACCCTGAAGTAAACATCACTGGGAGTAACGAATTTTTAAAATCTCAATTCTTGAACTATTAAGTCAGTTTGTCCACCCACTTTAATTGAATTTGTTTCACTGCTTTTTACTAGCTACATGTTCACTTAAATCACAGATGAACAATTTTGTTTTAGATTACTTTTCTGTTTGTCATTTATACTAATTTCCAGAATTTGAAAAAAATCGTATTTTATAAGTTCCATTTTGGATTTAATTAAGTGAAGGAAAATGACAGAAATCCTTTTTGTTAACATTTGATTTATTTAAAGTCCTTAACTGCAAATGATCAGGAACATATTCCACGGCTTAAAATCTCGTATTATTTTCGTTATTTAGATCAAAATATCTTAATTACAATCACATTGATAAAAATTAACATTTTAATTTGTAATTTTAACCATCATTTAAAGCAATTTCAGCTGTAAAGAAAAAGAATAAACCATGCAATAAATTAACATCGAGAAGGCAAAGAGGAATAATAATGAAACCTGTTCGGCTATACTAACACCATGTCCAACTGTGGAAAGTGCATTAACACTGGATGAAACAGGCATACGATGCTAACAATTAAAATGGCCACAATAGGATTTTGGAACCTTGAATCAAATTTTGAAATACAGTTCCCTATAACTTCTCTCCCTCAACATTGTGACACTCCCTTTTTTTTCTGAAAAAAAAATCTCTTAAATGGTATACATACACAGAAGATAATTTTATACATGTGACCTCAGAATGACATGACCATGGCACTCTGCAGAGCAAGGAGCAGAGTTCTTGAGGTGAGCAATTCCTGAGGAATTGATTCCCAGGGCCATATGTGGGTAGAGAGAACAAAGGGGTGGAGTCCTTATTAACTTCTTGGTCAGGCAACTCTTGAAAATGTAGCGTGTATATCACCTACCTATTACCTCTATATGTTATGCAAAGTATGAAGAATATCTACATATCTGTGCATAATTAAGTCCATAGACAGTTTTATGAATTCATTTAAGATATCTGCTATCTGAATGCATCAGAAAGGGAAGCTGAAAAACAAATGGCTCTGATGTTTGTAATCTGTTTATATCTTACAGTACTGCCTTTCAATCCTTTCAAGAGCCCCTGGTGCCTACTTGCTTCTTCACCATCTCAGTTCTTATGGTTAAGAGTATTGCCACAGACCTATCTGTAAACTCATGTGGTGGGGTCAGGTAAGGAGAGAAAAAAAAAGCACAAACAAATATTTTACAAACTTGACCATCTTTCTTTCTTTTTTTAAATAAAACCTGCACAGACTAGAATGTGTCTGCAGGAGGAAGAGGGGAGAAAGGGAAGAAGGCAAGAAGGAAGATTTTATATATACATTTGTGGATCATTAAACTTTGCAGGGAAAAAATGATGGTATGGGGTTGATGGTTTTGTCGTAATATACAAAACGAGTTTTGAATACAATAATAAAGTAACAGTCCTTTGCAGTGGGGAAAATTGTGCACGAAAAATAAAAATAGTTGGGATTTTATGATGCTGTTGTTGGTTTGGTATGTGTGGTTGTTTGCTGTTGATTTTTTTTTTTTTCCCTCTCCTGCAACTAGCATCGCCATGCAGACAACCCCAGTCCCTGGAGCTAGGAAGTGTTTAGGACGGGTCTGGAATACACACCTTGATAGTAGGCCGGCTCCAGGGCTGAGGGCTCGATGGGGCTCCTAGTGGCCACCGAGGCACTGCCAAGAGGCAGGCTGGCGGGCAAGGTGGCGCCATAGGGAGAGTACTGCAGTGCCTGCTCGTATGCCTTGAAGTCCAGCTTGTGCTGCTGCTCCGAGGAGGACATGAGGTTGTTGATGGAGAAGGGATGGTTGAAGGAGTAGTGGGGATCCCCTTTCAGATGCAGCTGGGACTCGTGGGGTGCCAGGCCATGCGCCGGGTGAGAGGGGGGTACAGATGCTAGCGCCCCGGGCCCCGAACTTATGGGGGGCGCCGACGAGGAGGCTGGAGTCTTCAACTCCGAGGCGCCCCCTGTCGCCGCGGCCCCGCTGTGGTCCAGAGTCTGGGGGCTGGCGGGCCCGGGGGCCGGCGCGCCCTCTAGCTGGCCGGCCTTCCCGTGCACACCCCGATGGAGGGGCGAGTCGGCGCTGGGGTTCCCGGTGCCCGAGGGGTCCTTGCGGCTTTCAGGGCCTCCCTTGGAGACGCCGCCCCCGCTCCCATTCCCGCCCCCGGCCCCCGGCTGCTTCTCGCACTTGAAGCGCTTTTGACGGCGCAAGTAGCAGCCGTTCTCGAACATGTTGCCGGAGTCCGGGTGCAGCGTCCAGTAGGAGCCCTTGCCCGGCTTATCCGGGGATCGCGCCACCTTGACGAAGCAGTCGTTGAAAGAGAGCGAGTGGCGGATGGAGTTCTGCCAGCGCTGCTGGTTCTGACGGTAATAGGGGAAGAGGTCCATGATCCACTGGTAGATCTCGCTGAGCGTGAGCATCTTGCTGGGCGCCTGCTGGATGGCCATGGTGATGAGCGAGATGTACGAGTAGGGCGGCTTGGCGTGCGGGTAGCTGCGCTTGAACGTCTTGGCGTCGCCGCCGCTGCCCGCGCGGCTGCGGCCCAGGTTGGACGGCGCGTACGCCATGGGGCTCATGCATGGGTTCATGGCGGCCGCGTAGGGGCCCAGGCCGTTCATGGAGGCCGCGGGTTGCGCGCTCATGGCGCCCATGCTGCCCGGGCTCAGCGCAGTCCCCATGGCCGTGACGCCCGCCGCCGTCATGCTGTTCATGGCACCTGCCGAGCCCCCTGGCATGCCGGCCACTGCGCCGGGACTCAGGCCAGCCCCCAGGCCCGGGTTGGCGTAGGACATGTTGAAGGAGGCCGGGGTCATGTTGCCGCTGGTGGTCATGGTATTCATGGTCATGTAGGTGTTCATGGAGTTCATGGAGCCCAGGCCCGAGTTCATGTTGCTGACGGGGACAGAGGAGTAGGCCTGGAGCGGAGACAGCGAGGCAAGAGGCCCCGAAGGGCAGCGTTAGTGGTGCGCACAGGAGGGCGGCTGGCCGGGGCGAACCCCGTTCGCCCCCGGGGCTAGCGGAGAACATTTCTCCAAAGCACAGGAACCCTCCCCTCCCCACCAGGGGCAAATTGTTAGGCGCCCTTCCCAGACCCAGCAAAGATGTCTCGCACAGCAGGGGGAAAATCCTAGCGCGGCAGGCATGAAAGACAAGCGCACACACAAAATATGTCCCCGGGAAGATGTGTAATCGCCTTACACGCCAGGCTCAGGGGCTGGCTTCCAGGGCCCCTTCATCTCCTCCGACCACGCCAGGCAGTGTCCAAGTCTCCACCCCCAGACCAGCCTGGCAAAACGCCTTTGGGGCAAACTGTCTTTAACATTCCAAAAATAAAACAGATCTCTCGCCCTCCACCTCTTCACCCTATGAAGTGGGGTGAAGTGCAGGGACTTCCAAGGCAAAGGCCCGCTGGGCAAGAACAGGGCACCAACTTGGGGCGTCCACCTTGCCCGAGGCTGGCAGGCCCTGCTCCAGCAGGCCTGCACAGCAGTGCGAGGTGCTTTAATGAAACTCTCCTAGAGAAAATTGACCATAGGAGTCCCCCCCCCATTATTCATTTCCCAACGACTGGCTTTATCATCATAGGAGTCATTGCTACACGATGACTTTTTGTTGCTTATTATACTTAGAAGTAGTGCTTTCCACCCACTTGTAACAACTGTAATATTTGAAAAGAAACTCAAAAGTTCAGTAAAACTAAAAATAGATTTACAACAGAACGGACTGGGAGGGGTGCATAATATCAACACACTACATATATTTAACTTCAACATGATGGGCACCTCTGCAAACCATTCAAAAACTTGCATTAATTTTGTTAACTAGTGGCAGCCTCCTTATATTTGAAAATTGAGGTGACACAACTTGCTGAAATAATTGTCCGGTTTTGGTTTCCCCCGCTCAAATACTGATATATTTCTGACGATCATTTCAAAGCCTGGGCTTTGACACTCCATTAGTAGTTCAGAATAATTTAAAATTCTAAAATCAAACTCTCCTTACTTCCTCTTCATACTATTCTCTCTACGTCCCAATTCTTGGCTCTAACATGTGAGAAAGCTTTTTCCGTGGGGGTCTTAACTGGCTGGTGGATCGAGATGACTGCATCAGAATTAAACCTCTAGGGTTCTGAACTCCTTTTAAAATCATTAGCAAGCGCAAATTCTTACCAATAGCAATTTGGAAATTCATTGGATATTCAAAAAAATATAGGGTCCGGAAATGTTTTTTTAAAACTACCTATGTGATATTTTAATAAAGAATAATGATGTCCTTACATTTATATTCGTCAGCAATATATAAGTCCATTGGAAAACATAAGAGGTGAACAAACATTTAAATTAAGAACACTCTGCAAGTTATGGTATGCAAATACACTCAGGTAAATTTGTGATTATATAAATATAAATAAATTGCCATGAAAATACTTCCTGAGTCTACATTTTTCTGTCCATTTCTTAAATTTTTTTTTTTTTTTTTTTTACTTTTGGACTTTTCTTTTTCCTAAGATTATCCGAGGCCGTTTCAATAATGGTAATTAAACTTTCGGGAGTAATCAACAGCTGTTTCCAGAAAAATATTTTTAATAGGTGGTGCTCCTGCCTATACCTGATTTCCCTCACAAGCCTTTTGTGCACATTGTAAAATAAACCCCAAGAACGTGCCACCAAGGGGACAATGAAGAGAAACAGGTTCTTGGCCCCGAGTTCTGGGAAAAGATTCGGTTCGCACCAGCGCCACCCAGCGGTTCTAGAGAAGAACGAACCCACTTCTCCCCAAACAGCTTTTGAAGAACAAGTTTCATAAAATTTAGGAATCATTTCATTACCAAGGAGCCCAACTTTACAGCAGCGCACTTTGAATCCGGAGACGTCTCCGGAGGCGGTGGGAGAAGAGGCCGCCCGCCAGGCAGTTCTGGCTTCCTCGGAGTCGCTTCCAACTCGCGCCAGCGCCCGCCCGCCCAGCCGCGCCGCTGGGGCTCCCGCTCTCCGCAGGGCAGAGACCAGTGCTGCCTAGGGCCGGGGTTCTCAAGCCCAGAGTTCCTTAAAACTCTCTCCCGCTGCAAGCTGCAGGACCCAGGGGGCTGCCTATGAGGCCGGGCCAAGGCCAGGCCGTGGCCACATCGGGCGGGTGCGCAACCGTGCCACCCGCGCCCCTGGCCCGCCCGCCGCTCTCCTGGCCCGGGACCCACCTCTCCCCGATCTCCCCGGACACTGGTTCCGGGGACGCCCCGCCGGCCACTCGCCTCTCACCTCCTGTGTATCCGCGTAGTAACTGTTCCAGTCGCTGCTCTCATGCCCTTCCATCTTCACAGTCCCTAACATCCTGGAGTCACCCTGCCCGATGCAACCATCCAGCCCTGTGCGAAGCGACGGGCGACCGCGCTGCGCGGGGCGGGAGGAGGGGAGGGAGGGGATCCGAGCAGCAGCAGTCACCCGAGCGCCGGCGCGGGCCCAACGCCACCCCAGCTAGGAGGAAGCGGGGCGCTGCGGGGCGCGGCGTGCGCGGCGGCAGCGGCGGCGCGGCGGGCGGGGGCAGCGCCGGGGGCAGGCGGCGGCCGCGAAGCGCGGCGCCGGGGAGCGCCTCCGCGGGAAGTGAGCGGGCGGCCTCTGCGAGGCGAGTGCAGTTGAGCTGATGTGGATCTTACGTCGCTCGAGTGCCCACCTCCTCGTCCTCTCCCCATTTGTCCGCCGCACAAAGACGCTCGCACCTACAAAGCCCGAGGTGCACCTGCGAGGCGGCCGCCCGCCAGTCCAGCCGCCGCGCCTCCCGCCCTGCCGCGCCGCCGCCGCGCGCGCCCCCCGCGCCCCCTCCCGCCGCCCCCTCCCCCAAACCTGGCCCGCACTTTGTTTGCAAAGCAGTGTAATTGGTTTAAGCCCGCAGGCTAGGGAAAGAGGGAAATAGGGCGGCTGTGTGTGTGTGCGTGCGTGTGTGTGTGTGTGTGTGTGTGTGTGTAACCCCCTTTGGAAAAGGAAAAAAAAAGAAAAATAGGCGGGGCCGGGCGGGCAGGCCAGGGTTGTACATGGGAGCCGTGCAAGCCGGAGAAGGCTAGGACAGTGGCATCGGAGCCCAGGCTGGGGGACAGTGCGCGCTAAATGACCCCGGGGTCCTTCCCTAGAGGTGCTCCCCACCCTCTGGACCCCACTGCGACTTGGTTCAGAGCCCCTTCTCCGCATTTGTTCCCCGCCCCCACCCCCCCCTGATTCCTGACCCAAAGTTCAACCCGGAGACTGGAAATGCAGACCCCTCCCCCGCCACACTTCCTGGGCTTCAGGGTAGAAAAGGGAAAAAGCACTACTTTTGCCTCGTCACTAGAAACCCGGTCATCTGAGTCAGCCGAGCCGAGCGACGTTAGGCCGACCCGGGCTCCAGGCTAGCAGAGCGGAGGCGCTGCCACGAAACTCGTACCTGCGGCTAAAAGCAGGTGAGTCACAGCACCGTTTTATATCTTTATGACATAACTTTTTTTTTCCGCCTCAGTCCGCTCCACTCCCCTTGTCATCTGTAGCGATCATAAAGAGGAAGAAACTAAGAGCAGATGTCTGTGTGATAGGGCAGGCGGATCCTAGTCGGGCCGGCCTCTCAGCCGGGCTCCTCCTCCCACCCCTACCCCCCTTCGGCAGCCTCAGGGACTGAGTTGGAGGCGACCGTCTGGTTTCTGATAGGGAAAGGTCAAGGGGAGGGGATATCTCACTATACTGAGGCATTAGCTGGGAAAGCAGGGGCTGGGGCGCTGAAACGCATCTGCACTGTTCAAAGAGGTGCCAGCTTGAAGCCAGAAGCAGCCCACAGTGGTTCCCGGTCAGATCTCTGACCTGGAGAGACTGAACTTGGTTCCTAATCGGTCCCTGGACGTCTGTGGGAAATTCTCCCCAGCCCCACCCCACCCCCTGCAAAGCTTCGCTCCTTCTATGAGGCTCTGAGTAGTGGATTGCCCCCAAGTCCTGGGGAGAGAGACAGAACAACCACAGTCATGGGGTTTCTAGGCACTGAATTTGTGATAGGTTGGTGCGTGTGTGTTTTTGAGTGCGACTGCATAAGTGTTTCTGAGCATGTGTGTTTCTAAATGAATGTGACTGTTTCTGTGTGTGACTGTTTCTTTGTGTGTGTTTACCAGCTTGTAGAACCACTAGAATTCCTCAAGTAGCAATAAAATAAAACCTAAAGTGACTAAGACTCCGGAAAAACATTCTTGTTTTGCAAAGTTAAAAAATGCAATTAATCTCATTTGGAGAAACGTGTTTTAACTTGTCTTCCAAATAGATACCTTTTCCTCCTGTGCTTTGTTCTTTCAAATCTTTCTTCCTTGAAATCTGGCAAGAGAATCACGTTAAATCCTTGAACCAAACAAATCTCTTAAATCAGCAGGGGAGCATGGAGGGTGAAGATGTGCAGTTAAGGAAATAAAACAAGATAAAAGCATTGGATTACAATTCCTTTTTAAAAAAGAAAAAACGAGGACGGTGGAGTGTGTGTGTGGGGGTGGACACATCACATTGTAAGGAAAAGAATGACAGTGAAATTAAATCCACCTGGAACTCAACCCAGCAAGAGCCCTCCCTGACGACGCAGTTTGCTCCTGTGACTAGAAGTCACTCCCACCAGTTTGTGTGTATGTAAATGTACCTGTGAACGTGTGTCAGAAACTAATTCTTTTGCGCAAAGTTCCCAGCAGCAGCAGGACCTCAGGCCCATTTGTATAGTACACGGATGCTTATGGCACTCCGCCTGGTCCGGGACTTTCAGTGCTAAGAAGCTTCCTTGTTCCTTCCTACAACGTGGAGCATGACGAGGGTGTTTTCTGTGGGTAGTAACAACTTAGTAATAGTTTTTATTGTGCACAAAAAGCAGGTGCTTTAAGGGAAAAAATGCTGTCACCTCGAATGGGGTTAAATATCCAAGATTCCTTCAGCTCATTTCCCAAACCTACTAGGCCTCTTTTTTTAACAGTCAACTTAAACAAAAAAAGGTTCATAGCCTAATGGCCAGAGTGAGGTCTCTTCCAAGCTGCTTCAAAGCCCAAGACCGGTTGTGCAAAATAGACTCTGCCAGCTTTAGGGACTTGATTCAGCTTCGGGGTTCCGGGCCGGGGCCCAAGGGATTCCCGCGAGCACAGCGCCTCCTGTCGCAGAGCCGGAAAGCTGGGCTTTCCCGCAGGTGCCCACAGGGAGCAATGCCAGGTGAGACTGGACTGAAAGTTACACGTGTCCTGCAGTCAGCGATTTGGGTTCTTAGAACTGACTGGCTGAGGCCAAGAAGGAAAAGTGGAAGTTCAGTTAGTGTCCAGCCTCTGTCCATCTCAGTGGCAGCACCCAAGAGGTGACGTTTTAGTGTGCCCAGGTGGCAGCCAGTTTTCCCTAGATTTAAAAGTGAATCAGCAGAGTCACGCTGGGTCTTTGACTTGGAAAATACACAATACGTATCCCATGCATCCACACATAAGCTAATGCTGCTGTTTGGGGGTTGGTGGCATCCAGGTAACCTGTCCAGCCACCTAAACCCGCTTGTTCTCAACACCTCTCCCCACGATAGGACCTTACGTCATTGCAGAACTACTTTGCGAAGACTATGCTGCCTGGAGACTTAAACCTGAAGAGGCTGGGTGGACTCAGAACTGGAGTGCAATGAGAGCAGCCACGTGGCGGCTCCTGAGTTGTCCCTACCCAAACTCTCCTGGGTGAGAACAGGTCTGCGGCAGCCTGGAGCTGGAGGCAGGTGGCAGGGAGGGCGGGCTCCTCAAGTGAAGGAAGCCAGGCGATCAGAACGGTGGGGTGCCCGGATTCTCCAGGTGGAAGCGGCTCCGCCTTTCCCGGAAGCAGCTCCTGTTTGCCCATGGGGCCTGGTCCCAGCTCAGCAAGACTGGAGGAGGGGCGGTACAGGTTCACTGACTGCAGCCTAACTTCCCCAGCATGACTTGGCCCCTTTTGAATTCCGCAGATATTCATGGGACAGGGAGACGCAAAGGGTAGACGACATGAAAGGAGGAATGAAAGGCCGCTGATTCGGGTCTCGAGACTGGTGGCCTCTCGCGACGTCGGTGGCCCTTGTTGTTCAGTATGACGAATGGTGGGGCTCTGCCCCGTGGAGTCTCTCGAGGCTCTCCCTAGTCCACCCCATTTCGGGTTAACCCTCCCACCCAGCACCGCCTCGGGGCTGTGGTCAGGTCAAGGCCATAATGGGTCCAGCCACGCTCGGTGGCCCCCTTCCTGCACGGGTCCCCAGACCCAGACCCAGATAAGAAGCTTAAGTCCTTCTCTTGCAGGAGAAAATCAGATGCAATGAAACTGAGACCTGTGGTCTTTAGCTCTGTTCAAAGCCGACCCCGACTGGGACCTGACTCAGTGTAGGAATGAGGAAGACGGGCGACGGTGGAAGCATAAACTTGACCTCCATTGTGCCTGGCCTTCGCGATCTGGGGTGTGCACGGGCCTGGGGAAAGGGCCTGGGAGCTGCAGGAGCGCCTGCCTTCAGCATCCCGTCCACAACCGCGGGAGCTCTGGGTCCTTGCCTGAGGGATCACTGTCGCCCCCACCAGTCTGACACACACAAGGAGTATAACTTCCAGGAATTGTACGGGACCACCTGATGGGCTTTGACCAGTTCTATGTGGAGTCCTCTACTGTTCTGGCCGCACTCCTGGCCAGGTGTGTACGTGTGTGGACTACTAACGCATATTCAGGGAGTTTGCTTATTTTCTTGAAAACAAATAAAAACAGCCCTTGGGTTTGTCCCTTCTACTGCTCCCAGAGTCTCCTCCGGGTTTGTGAATGACCCGGGAGTCGCGGGCCTGACTTCCCAGCAGCCGGATGTCTGAGCCGGAGCTGCTCCCCACCTGGCCTGCCCGCGGGAGACAAAACCATCCTTTGGCTGTGAGTGAGCTTCACCTTGCCAAAATCAACCCACATTTTCATGTATTCAAATGAGAATGCTGGGAAGGGGCGGCTTGCCCTCCTTGGCAAGCCACAGTCTTGTAAGTGTTCCCAACGGTCTCCGCAGAAAACCGGAATCTTCTTCCCCTGGGGCGGGAGCCCAGATCTGGGTCCTCGCGGCGGTCGCGCGTGGTCTTCTAAAGGCGGTGTCCCCTGTGTTACCTACAACTTTACTCACACCGGTCAGCGCCAGCCTGAGGATGTGCTCAACCCCAGTTGTCAGCTCCTCCTTACCCAGCCAATCCCTCTCTGGGGAGGACGCAGTCTCCCTCCAAGGTGCCCTCGTCTGCTTTGGCATTCCTGTCTAATTAAAAAACGCTAGAGTCGGGGCTCTGGGGAAGTGACTAGAAATGCATGCCTCACTCACACAAAGAGGTCAAAAGTAAGGCTTTTCCAGGTTAACGCCTCTAATGTTTGAGAGCAGAAAAGGGACCAGAGCGGCTGAAGTCTTACTGTGTGCCACCGACTGGGCGGGACTCTTTGAGATCTCAGCGCTTTCCCACCTGCGCTCCTGGGCGCAAGAGCTGGGAGGCTGGAAGCCTGGGCGAGGG